TTTACCAAGTTTCTGACTTCTAAGTGTCAAAAGTTACCATTATGTCTCAAATTCGGTTAGTCTTTCTTAACGTAATTCTCTTTTCTTTTCATCTCATTCCTCTTTTCTCTCATATTCATATTTCCCCTTATTATTTTGGATCTTTTCTCAACTTCCCTCCCATTTCCTTCCATCGTCCATATCTTCGCAGTCTCATCTTTCTTTCTTCTCTTTCTCTCTTATCTATTCTTCTCCCGTTAGGTCTCTCATCTCCTTATCGTATCTTTCCTTTATCTCTCTTTAGTTTCTCATCTCATCTCTCACCTCTCCCTCAGGTGAAAGAAGTAGGCCAATGCACCAACCCACTCATAGTCTCTCTCTCTCTCTCACACACTACACGCATCTCTTTCTTCCTCACATTTCCCTTTTTTCAGATGAGAGAGAAAGTGAGAGAAAGAAGAAATGATAAAGATTAAGAGAGACGCACCAGTATATCCAATGCGACTCTCACTCTCCCTCTATCCTTTCCTCTTCCTTCACCCTCTCTTCCTTCCTTCTTCTATTTTCCTCAGGAGAGAGAGAGAGAGAGAGAGAGAGGCACCAACCCATTCTACTTTCCTCCCCTCGTCTCTTCCTCCCTCCCTCCTCTCTTCTTCCTTCTTATATCTCACCTTTCCCTCAGGTGAGAGGGCGTGAGAGGGGGTGAGTGGGACGCACCAGCCCTCTCAAAGCGTGTCTCTTGTGCGTACATAATACATAGGACGGAAACGAGTCTTTTACGAGCCTAGTTTTCTCGATATTAAAGTTGAAGGATCCAGAACGGTGGAGAGGAGAAGAAGAAGAAGAAGAAGAAGAAGAAGAAGAAGAAGAAGAAGAAGAAGAAGAAGAAGAAGAAGAAGAAGAAGGAGGAGGAGGAGGAGGAGGAATAGAAAGATGAGTTGTGAAGAGGAGGAGAATGCGGAATTGGAGGACGGTGGAGAGGAGCAGAAAGTAGACGTGGAGGAGGAGGAGGAATGGAAGAATATAGAGAAAGAGAAGGAAGTCAAGGAAATGGATGAGGAGAAGACAGAGAATAAGTTGGGAGAAGAGAAAGAACTGAAGGAGGAACGGAAGAAGGAGAAAGAGGAGTAGTAAGTCGTGATGAGAAGGAGGAAAGGAACAGTAGGAATATGAAGAGAATTGGTTAAGATAGAATAAATGGTGTCTAAGAAGAAGAGAGGAAGGAGGAGGAGGAAGAGGGAATGGTGTTAAAGAGGAAAAAGTGAAGAAGGAGGAGGTAGTAATAATGAAAAAGAGGAGATAGAAAAGAGAAAAGAAGATGGAGAGGGAGTAACCATTAAATCTTAGTATAAAAAGAAACTATTCATTTGGTTAAAGGGGAAAAATGAGTCCGTAAAAAAGAAAAAAAAAGTGAAATTGATTGTGTGTATATATAGTTTTTTCCTCTTATTAATAGGTTCATAGTTGAAGAAGTAGAGTATATCTTGGTGGAAAAAAAACCCCACTCATTGAACTTAAGTCTAAATGAAGTTTGTCTCTAACATAGGTTATGAAATGGGTAAAACAGTCTTTATAAATTAAACCATGAACAGTAGTTATAAATAAGGTTTTATCTCCTTTGGTTTAGAGATGGAAGAGAACAATTATGAGAAGCAAAACATTAAACAGTAGACTTTAATAGGGTCTCTTTCTCGTTATGAACCGGGATAGAAAAGAAGGCCTATTAGTGTTGTTAAATGCATAGGTCACAAATAGAAACCACAAACACAGATGACCCATGACATGAAGGTTTGTTCCCCTGGGATAAACACAGACTTACTTACCTTCCTCTCAGGTAGTAAAAGAAGGTCCTCAGGTGTTCAGGTCTTTAGAGGTTGAGGTCCTCAGGTGTTCAGGTCATTAGGGGTTCAGGTTTCCATGTGTTCAAGTCATTGGGGATTGAAGTTCTCAGGTATTCTATTCAGGTCTTTAGGGGTTAAGATCCTCAGGTGTTTGGGTCATTAGGGTTTGAGGTCCTCAAGTATCCAGGTCTTTAGGGGTTGAGGTTCTTGGGTGTTCAGGTCTTTAGGGGTTCAGGTCATTAAGAGTTCAGGTCATTAAGGGCTCATGTCCTCACGTCTTCTGGTCTTCGTTATCCACGCTCTACCAGAAACTTAGATTTTGACCATTTCTTTGAAAATTTTTATTTATATATTTCACCTAATAAAGCAAATTTATTTATTTCATATATGACTAAAACATAATGAAACCAGAAGCAAAAGCCCAATATTAGTGACTTAATTTGGGTGTAGATGGCGCTGACTGTACTAAGATTACCCAAAAATTATGTCAGGTCTGCCAAGCTCTTCAAAACAATTTCTTTGGGTAATTTCAATTTGTTATGGTTAATGAGGAACTGAATCCCCTTTTAAGATGTTAGGAGAGACGAAGATGTTGATAGCGTCATTATAGGAGGACCAGAGGGCTGTAAAACGCTCTCTTTAATAACAGCTCAGGATATAATTGCCTGATATTTACGCTTCACGAGAGGCCTCTTTAAAGAGTCATTAAACCCTAAGATGATGATGAGTTTCTTGTACTTGTAGGTGATTCATTTACTTCCTCTTACTGAAGATTACATTTTCAAGTGACTTTCTTAATGCAATCTTTAAAGAAAACTAAATTTTTCCTCCTTAGTAATTTTTTCTGGTGTTATACATTTATCAGCATTCTAGTTTATTCTTATTCTATATAATCCAACTATGATAAAGGAAATAAAAAGTTATATGGATAATTTGGGGATCTGTACTGCTATTTACTGTCTTTGTTCAGCAGCCAAATATGTCAGAAGATAACATAATAAAGAACAGAAACACCAGAATCTTCACTTTTCTTGTTCAGTGCTGGGCAATGTATAATGCTTCTCAAAATCACATATGACACTATTGAGATTAACAATATAAAAAGAAGATAAAGATTCACTGAAAAAATTCCTTTTATTAACCAAACATTTAATTATACACACTCAGTCATATTACATATCGTAAAAGAAGCTTCAAACTGTGTCAGAAAGATGGGACTGATGTTTGTTTCCAAAGTAGCTTTTTTTTTATTAATAACTCTTGACATGTAGGTCTACACTTATAATGTCATTACAAATACATTGATACGTACAAAATACAATGAAGGTATGACTACCTGACCATCAGAAACATACTTAGATTGGATGAGAATGTCACTTATCATGAAAGAAATACATAAACAACAGAATAACTTATTACTCTCTAATTATCATTTATCAAATACTCGGCACACTGCAGAGAGGGTATTGTAATGTTTTGTGTGCTTGTGAGTGTGTCCGTGAATTTTCTGTGTTTGCTAACAATGACATGTAACAAAGCCTGGGCTCACTCAGGAAGCCTTGGCAGGAGACACGTGTTGTGTCGCCCTAAAGGTTGTGTCAGTCACAGTTGACTTTCCAAAAAAATGAGGAAAATCGTCACTTAATACCAAGAAGCCTGGACTGTGCAACACTGTCATCCTGGAAACATCCTTAAAGAGGAACTGTATCTCTTATTGTCTCTCGTCTTGAGAACAGTGTCTCAACATACTTAAAAAATGCCATCTTAGAACAACATGTTCCAAGTCATAATGCAGTATTAGACTAGAATAAAAAATCCACGTGCTACAGTTTAATATAAATATTATATATCATCGAAAGATTCCCAGTATAAATCCACTAGAAGTTAAACACTACAATAAATATCACTTTCCAGCAAGATATCTTCTTACTCAGGTCATTGAAGCTCAAGACTATCAACAATGGTGACAGCCTCTGGAACACACATTTTTGGAGCTGGTCATATGGAATCCAGGTCTTGTAATTTTCTTTGGACTCCACTACTGGAAACTTATGTTCCTGATTTAACTCATTAGAATTTATCTCTTTGAGTCTAATTTTGTTCATAAACTTCCAAACTAAAAGTATGATCTGTCTCTTGGAATCTCTTGTTAGAAATCAATATTTTGGAAAATATTTTTAGATTTAGGAGTACAACTCTTGTATGTTTGTTTCTAGATTGAAGCTTCTGAAATCACAGAGTAAATCATTAGAAACTAACTCTTCAGATACAACTTTTAAAGCCAACATCGACTTGCTGCTCAACAACCCAGAAGTAATGTTAATTTTGCCACCCAATAAAAGGCCTCAATATTCGTGTTGTCTAAAAAGAATATCTCACTTTGTTCAAGAGTCCCTAAAGTTGACCCCTATACTTGTATAATTAGGATGATAATAGGACTAATCAATCAGCATCTTCGGCTATTGACTGTGCTAATTACAATAGAATTGTGACTTCTCTGGGACATAATATCTACCATACCTTCTCACCTTTATGGAATAACATGGATAGAACTTTAAATTTGGCCTTAAGTCTTCTGTTATACATATCCTATTGAGAGGTAAAGGACTTTGCAGAAATCTGGTGGCGTGGCTGTGTTGTGGTCTTTATACAAAAACTGACACCAGCTTTAAGGTTAGTTTCGCTTCATTGTCCTTAGTAAAGATACTCGATAGACACCGGCCTTCAAGATGAATGGTTTTCACCAATCACTGTCATCTGCAAAGGTGTTCAAGACATTAACCTTGAAACTGCACTCCAGTTCACTACCTTCCACAGTGATATTCGGTAGGTATTGGTCGTCAAATTTTCCTCTGCAGAGATGCTTGACAGACAGCAGCCTTCAAGTTGTCTACAGTTCTCATTGTCCTCAGCCGAAACGATAGGCAGCTGAGGGGGGAAGGGGGAGTTGACACTAAGTCGCATCTATAATAAGATGACTAGGGAAAGGAGTTCTTTTACCAACAGTAAAGTATTTCTAACAGTCTCTCAGAACCTCCAGTGAAACAATGCAAGGCAGGGATGTGTAAATAGACAAATATACTGTATATATGTACAGGTATATATATATATATATATATATATATATATATATATATATATATATATATATATATATATATATATATATATATATATATATATATATATATATGCTGTATCTCGATCTGCAAAAATCTAAAAAAAAAAGTATTTACTTCACTTGTGGGTCGGCATCAGGCAAGTAAGGTAGAACATATATATATAATTTAAGTACCAGAGATACAACATTTAACTCGCATTTCAGACAGGTGTTGTAATAATCATTTACGAAGTAGTGTTGAGTATTGTAACTTGTTTTCTCTGCCCAAAAAATAAAAAAGCCTGTTAATATCCATGGATAAACATTGCACATTCAGCAATTAGTCAGTTTGTACATCAATCCACGACACCTATTACATCACTGGGTTGTACATATACTTTGTCAATCAATATATAATCTCACTTAACTCATACTTATAGTTACTTTTCTTTTTTCATTCCAAGAAATTTTGAATTGCATTTTTCAAGAAGACAGTGTATGTAGAGCATCTGCTTTATATTTTATAATAATGATATATTCCCGTTAACACAAAATGGTATGAGAATAATTTCTCTGCATCATTATCCTTACATCAGAGTCACATTCAGTATCATTGCTGGGAAGTAATCACCATGAGAAGACTCATCAACACTTGACACTGCTTTTGGATAACCATTTTCATTCTAGATATGTTTATGTGGGGATTATAAGTTATCCAGCTCTAACTTACTTATGTTTGAGTTCCTGGTATAACTTACACATGTCTATAGGTTTTCTCTGGTCTAAAACATCAACAGAGTCTTTGAACGTTATATATTTACACAGAGGCGAAACCTCCTCCTCCTCCTCCTTCTTCTTTCACCATTTATCTTAAGCATCCAAAACTTACAACCACGAGGTCTTCAACTTAAGTAACTTTTGAGTTTCACACTTATCACTACTAGAATACAAGTCAAAAGTGACTTGTATTTCAGAGTACAGATTACTAGAATCTCCCCATCTCCGTCTTGCACCATCAGCAGTCCAAATTTCTCCAGACTGACGCCATCAAGGTGAGCAGCTTGCACCTCTTGCAATTAGTCCATTTTGAGTTCTATCCGGATTTTAGAATCCAGAGGACAGACGATTCTGAGCTTGTCTGGTTTGTTAAAACCTGGTCGATGCAAAGGTGAGCTCATCTGTGTGACCACCAGAGCCCCTTCTGTCGACGAGTCGATTTTGAAGTTGCCGAGGATGTCCCTCCTCTTGCTGCCCGGAGAGTACATCATAACGGCTCCCGTTCCTGGTGCATCCAGTTTGATGCTCCTCTGTGACTCCCTCTTGCAGATGCCCGAAGAACTCTTCCTCATGCCCCCTAGTGCTTCTACCTTGAAGCTCCCTGGGGACTCCCTCTTCATGCCCGGAGATTCCTTCTTCATGCTCCCGGAGGGACTCTTGCTTTGGGTTTCCAACTTGAAGCTTCCGGATGGGCTCTTGGAACTTCCGGAGGGGCTCTTGAAGCTCCCAGAAGGGCTGTTCCTTGGAGTCGTCAACTTGACACTTCCTGCAAATTCCCTTTTGAAGCTTCCGGAAGGACTCCTTTGAGGGGTGTGCAGCTTGAAGCTCCCTGAAGTGTTCTTGAAGCTGTCGGATGGGCTTTTCTTTGGTGTTTCCAACTTGAAGCTTCCCAGAGATTCTCTCTTGAAGCTTCCTGAGGGACTCCTCTGTGGGGTGTCCAACTTGAAGCTCCCTGGAGATTCTTTCTTGAAGCTGCCTGATGGGCTTTTCTTCGGAGTCTCCAATTTGAAATTCCCTAGAGACTCTCGTTTGAAGCTCCCTGTAGGGCTTTTGAAGCTTCCAGAGGGGCTCTTCTGTGGGGTGTGTAGCTTGCAGCTTCCTGATGAACCCTTCCTTGCATACCCTGGTGCTTCCAATTTGAAGCTGCCTGACGATTCCCTCCTGAAGATGCCCAGATAGTCCCTCGGCGTGACGTTTCCGTAAGAGCCCTTCCTCACACATCCAGGGATGTCCAGTTTGAAGCTGCCTGGGGACTCTCTCATCATACTGACTGATGACTCCGTCGTGAAGGTTCCGCACGAATTCCTCCTCATGTTCGAAGGGATCTCCAACTTGAAGCTTTCTGGTGACTCCCTCCTGAAGCTGCTTGGAGTTTCCTTGTATGAAGTTTCCATCATGCTTCCTGGAATGTCCAACTTGAAACTCCCGGTCGGATTCTTGAAGTTCCTGGAGGGGCTCTTCTTTGGCGTTTCTAGCTTGAAGCTCCCGGAACCGCTTTTGTAGCTCCCTGAGGGGCTCTTCTTTGTGACATCCAACTTGAAACTTCCGGAGGTGCTCCTCTTCGAGCTGTCCAACTTGAAGCTGCCTGGGGAATCCTTCTTGAAGCTCCCGGAGTAATCTTTCTTGAAGCTCCTTCTGGAATCCCTTTTGAAACTCCCGTGGGAGTCTTCCTTGAAGCTTCTGGAGGTGCTCCTTTTTGGCTTGTCCATCTTGAAGCTGCTCGAGACATCCATCATCATGCTCTCTGGAGTGTCCGTCCCACTGCTGCTGGTGCTCACCACACTCCTGCCGGAGGACCAAGACATAGTTCCTTGGATTACTGCAGAAGAATTGACTCCAGGAGAGTTTATTGGAACTAACACACTGATTGTGGGTTACCATAAAGGAGCTCTTACAGTGATGGGTTGTTGGGTGAAAGGAAACTGTTAAAAGAAGATTGTGGGTGAAAGAAAACTATTTACAGATTAACTATAATGTGATAAGTAAAGATTATTGGATGATCTCAGGCAAAAGCTAATTACCTAATCATACGGTGCTGATTATGGCTATTAACTTAAGTTTAATCTAAAATAGCAGTGATAATTGCTACAATATTGTGAAAATCAGAATACTGTGCACACAATTAGAAAATGTTATTCCATTACTGTATTTAGGTACCATTAAGCTTAAGATGATTTCCGTAAACTACGATTTATTTCAGGAATATGGGAAATATTATGCAGACTTAAAACATTCACATGTACTTGGGCAATGACTAACATATCGGACTACTGTGTGGTTGACACTCGCAATTGTGATGAAACTCTAATTCGTATTTTTTGTGCCAATTAAAAAGCAAGTGAATAAGTTCAGTAAAAGTTTAGTTGGATCATAGCTCTTCGCATTTCCGATTACTTGGAGAAGATGTTTGTAATATCATTTTGTATCAGTATATTTGACTTGCGAGTGACCCCCTCCAACACAGGTCCAGGGCGAGCAGACTAGACTAGATCTACCGTGTTTACTTGGAGAAGACTTTGTTAACTTACTGCAACATTGTTTACATGCCAGGTAGGGAAAATATTGGGAGACTGTGCCAACTTTAGGTCTGGGAACAGCTAAAGATTTCCTGGCCCTAAAGGGCACTAGAGAAGAGCGGGAGTGTGGTTGGACATACCTGAGGAGGACTGACACAAGGTTGAGACTATCTAGCCACTAGTACGGGACTAGACCGAGCTCTCCCGGTGGTTGGGGCTGCCTGCCTTGTCCCTAGGGGTGACTAAAGGAGCCCTGGGGGACTCGCTGTCAGGGAGGAAGGCCACGGTGGAGGTGGACCCGTGGTGGTTGACGGAGGAAGAGGTGGTGGAAGAACAGGATGGCGTAGCTCGTCCTGAGGAGAGGGAGCCTGTCCTCCCTAGAGTGAGGGTGTGGTGGTGGGTGTAAGGGGGGGGCAGGGTGGCCAAGACGTCCTGGGTGTAGGGGGTGTTGTTGCCAGACGGGTCACGGGGGTACGACTTGGGCAGGGTGGTGGTAGAGAGGTTTTGGGTGTACGACGGAGGAAGGGTCGTCTGCTCAGGGGTGTAATGGGCGTACACTGTGGGCTGGGTGGTGCGGGCGGCGGGCGTGGAGGCGGCCAGAGGACACCCCATGTGCAGGATGGGATCTGTTTCCCGCGGCAGCAAGACGCCCTTCTGTGTAGGATACGTGGCGGATAGGTTAAGTAGGACCCGTCCTACACACACACACACACACACACACACACACACACACACACACACACACGAGTACCTCAGGGTTCTCATGCACTCTAAACCCCACTATAATTTCATCCACTATTCACTAATTGTACATTAAGTTCTTTATAAACTCTATCTGAGAAACTCAACTATTTTTTAGAGGAAACTAGCAAAAACTATCTTGAGCTAAAATCAATTAAACTTCTAAAAGTTTAAGCTAACTCTAAAGAATTCATCTAATTAACTATAATATTTACATAATGAAAAATGGTGTTTACTCCCAAAAATCCTGAAATGTAAAAAAAAAAATATGTAAATGAATAAAGATTTTTAAAACTATATCAAACAGTCATTATACAACTCACCATTATATATCAACATCACCATTAACCACCATGAATCACCATCCACCATACATTATACACAATCATTAACTACATCACCATAACATCAAAATGAACACCATCATAATATAGCATCAATGTGTATACGTATATTATACTCTCACTATACACACACTTCATCATAACACGTCATCATATTTTGCCATCATAGAGTACCATCAGAACACACTATAACATCCTAACATACCATAACACATTATCATTACACATTATAACATCACTACACACCATAACATATAACACCATCACTCACCACAACACATCATCATCACACACACACACACACCACATCTTTATCAATAAATCATGTTAATATAGTACACTTTCCCGGTAATATCACGTTAATAAAAAAAATCCTTCAATTATATGTTTTTTTTTTCTTCTCTCTCTCCTAGGTTCATTATGACGTAATATCCTGCTTTATATTCCCAAAATAACCTGTTTCTTTTTCACCGTTGGCGGCTGGCCTGAGATACGACTGTTTTGGTGACCACGGCAAGAAATTTGTGCGTCACTCTAGAGTTTATGATTTTCAGGAAATTTATATAAAAACATTATTTTTTTTTTTTGATGATCTTGTATATATTCACTCGTGTTTTGTGATAAAAGGATAACTGTTTTTTTTTTATTATATAACCGTGGGAATTGGTGCATATATGTTAATTTTTTTTTCATGTCAGGTGT